GCTCCCCGGCCGCCTCCGCCCCCGCGCGCCGGCGGCCTCCGCGCTCGTCCTCCCTCCCCCACTTCCTGAAGGACAACAGCTCGATTTTTAACCGGAATCCGCCACGGTTCTTCGTTCTGGTCTTGTTGCTGGGCTGTAGTCTTCACCTCCACTCGGTCATTTCTGCGCCTGGTTCCCCTCCCCTTCGCGGGCTCGTCCCCCCTCCACTCGGTGATTTCGGGCTCGCTCTCTTTCCCTTTGTCCCCCTCTTCACTTCTCCTTTCCCGAGTTCCACCCCCCACCGCCTACTCCAGCTTTCCCAGGCCTCCTGCTCGGCGTCCGAGGCCTCCGGCCTGGTGAGGGATGAGGGGTCGTCCTTCTGCATTCAGTGCCCATGACCGTGGCCTAAGTGAAGTGAAGGGCACTCTCCTGTCCTCCCTCTTGAAAATACGCGGCGCCTGTTAACCCCTGAGCTCAGTACGGGTGCGGGGACAGCCGGTGACTCGAGGGAGCCACAGTGGTTAGGCTTCTTGAGCAGAGGAAAAAAAGCTGGAACCAGATGACGACCCCCCCAAGGCCGTGTTGGTGTTCCTTGGCATCCTTCAGGGGCCAAGCAACAGGCTCTCAGAGCGTTTTAAATATGTCTTCCAACGTAGCCCTTCTGAGAGCGAGAGTTTCGTCAGAACAGAATTTCCTCCAGAGTCTGCCCACATAGTGTGGTGATGGCTTTGAAGTGTTTGTTTTGGAGGGTAGCTTAGTTGTTGGGCTTTGAAAAAATAAACCCAAGTGTGGAATTAGGACATACCCGATTAAAAATATTAAGGCCATAAAATTAGATTATTTGGGGTTGGACATGGTGACTGCAGTAATTTGGGGGAGTGTTTGTATGTCGTTACCAGCGCCACCTTTTTGGTCTTTGTAATGCATAAACCATTTTCCAGTCATTAGGCTCACTTGAGCCATCTTTGCCAGCCGGAGTCCAGATCTGAGAACGATTTCTCTGATCAATTAAATGTACATGTACTGGCATTCTCGAAATAAGGCTCGTTGCTTTGAAACATAAAAGATCTGTGTTCTGCACGATCCTGGTGGCCTTCGGTATTTGAAATGGAGAAAATTCCACTGGAGTAGATTCTTCCTTGCTTATGGTTGTCGGACCTGGAAGCAGGGCAAGAACAAATGCTATCTTACAGTGAAAAATCTTCCCTGAAATAACAGTGGGCCCGCCTCTGTGCTTTCTAATTTGTGCGCTTGTCCTGAAGCCACAGACTTTTCTCCTGGTCTGTTAATTGCTTGTTACTGACTTTATCTTGACAGTTGTCAAAATAAAATGATAACAAAGTAGCACTTTGAAGTAGTTCTTTAGCCTGCAGTTTCTTTTAAGTTCATAGGTTTACTTGACCGGTCTGTGAACATTTAATCTGAAAAGCGGTTTGCAGAGAGGAGAAGGAGTCAGTCTTTTAATCTCAGGTGCTTAGTAATTAAGAGGAAAACTGAATGACTGCAAAGTACCAAGCTTTTAATTCTGTGACAGTTTGACTGCCCATTATTGTGTTTCTGTTTTACATTAATGTAGTTTGGAATGCAGTTTTATCTATTGGGCCATCCTGCAAGCTTCAGACCAGTGTATTTTAGCATATTCCTGTCCAGATGAAGGAAATCTTAGTTTGCTTGTTAGAGTTTATTTTCTTGTAGCACAACCTTTTCAACTCTTTCCACTGTAATTGTATTACCATCTAGGGCTGGAGTTTAGTGAAAGATAGTGGAGTGAAAGATTGCTGAGAAAAGGCACCCGAAGCTTCTTTTGTGTTTCAGAAAATTTGATTCCGCTAATACTTGGCTAATCGGCTCTTTTGCCCTGGTGGTTTGCTGTGTGACATTAGCTGTGCCCGAGGGATGGGAGGTGTGCACAGGGGAATCTCAGATGTTCTTCACCGTGCTCTGTGCTTTCACTTAGAGCCGACCTGTGCGCCCTTGTAATTCTCTGTCCTGTTTACCGTTTACACATTTCCCACGTCATCATCATGATGTCTTTTGCAAGACTATTACTGAATGAAATTCCCTTAAGGCCTCAGTGCTCAGCACTGCCTTGCTTGCTCAGCAGGGCATACTGGCTCATGCTTCCTCACAGGAGCTAAGGGTCTTCTCTGACTGTGCTTACTGAGCTCAGATTGAACAGTAGGAACTAAATGAAAGCCTATTTAGAAGAATTCAAATTCTGTACATATTTTATATTCCAGTCCACACTTCCTCTAATACTCTATTGAGTAGGGAAAAGGCTGATATGAATCTGTTGTCTTAGTGAATTTAATAAGTCACAGGCCAAATTTGCGTTTGTACTTTATAGCTTACCTAGCACACCCTTGCTTTTTCCTCCTAGAGAACCATGGCGTCTGGCAGTACTACCGCCAGTGAGGAAGAGCGGAGTCTCCGGGAATGTGAGATCTATGTTCAGAAGCACAACATCCAGGCCCTGCTAAAGGATTCGATTGTGCAGTTGTGCACAGCTCGACCCGAGAGACCCATGGCATTCCTTCGGGAATACTTTGAGAGGCTGGAGAAGGTAAAAATAAATGAGGGGAGATATGCGATGACCATGGCAGTTGTTGTTAGGTTTAATGCTTCTGGGTGTCGCTGATTGTACCTTTTGGGAGAAGAGGAATTCTGACCAAATGAGAAGTCTAACAGAAATTCTGATTAGCATACAGTGAAGGATTTCTTAGTAATTTTAATCAGAATCTATTACAAATTGAATCGATACTGTTTTTTTGGCTATTAAAGGGTTTCCAAACAGTTGGTTTTGACTATTTTAAATAAATAATATTTAAAATTGACTTTACCAGGTAGAGTCAATCAAATGTGGTATGATAGGTAATGAATTGAGAAGTAGTTAAAAGCACTTGGTGCTCTTCAAGAAAGAGGCGAGCTTTTAGTTTCTCCCACCCTTAAAGCTACAGTCACACATCCGCATCTAGTTTGGGGTGGTGTAATCAAAATAAATTCTGAACTCCTGTTTATTGTTAGATAGACAAATCAGCTGTATGGTGGGAAGGTGAAGATTTGTAACTGTCAGTTTTACCATAGTTATAATTTTGGTTAGGACTTGTTTCCCAGAAAGTATGTAATTTGATTTTTTTATTCTGTGTTGTTGCATTTGTATTTTGTGTGGGTCACTGTGACCCACAGACACACAGGTTGTACATTTTTTTCTTTTAAAAATAGATTTACTTATTTTTAAGTGGATGAATATTTTGCCTAAACGAATGAATGTGTGTGCATTACATGCTTGCCTGGTGCCTACCAAGGACAGAAGAGGGTGTCAGATCCCTTGCAGCGTGAACTGTGGATGACTGTGAGCCAGCGTGTGGGTTCTGGGAACTGAACCTGAGTCCGCTGCAGAGAGCAGCAGTGCTCCTACCACCGAGCCTTCTCCTCAGCCTCCAGGAAGTGCATTTCTAAGCAGAATTGCAATTTTGCATCTAGGATCTTCTGCACCCTTTCCTCAAGAGATGATGCATATAAAAGTTTGGTTTACCCAGTGTGATCAGTAGTTGATTTGCTTTGCTTCTGTAAATCATTGGGGGGTGAATGTGCCACTTTGCTATGCATATTCAAGTTTTGAAGAGGTTCAGTATACTGGGACTCATTTCTCTGATAGCATGTTTAATATCTGATTGTATAGTAGAAATATCTGCAATATTCACATTGGTTTGGGCAGTTTCTTACTGTTGAAGTTTCTACGTAAAAGAATATGCATCTGAAGAAGTATTTGAGTAGCCAGTAAGCAGGTATTTTACACTATTTCCTTGGAAACCTTTAAAATGCTATTGCTCAAAATGATTAGACTGAGGGGAAGAAAGGAAAACTGCTAAGAAGTCCCTCTGAATACAATCTTGCCACCTTGGGTTTGTAGTAGAAATGCTGGCTTTCTCTTACTTAGGCAATCACTAAATAATAGACATACTTGCCAGGAGTGTGCTCTATTTTGAAGTCAAGCGTGTTCCTGGAGATCTGGTTCTGAAATGGGTCACGGTAAGGCGATCCCTCTTCTTTGGACATCAGTAGAATCAAATGAGAGGATTAAGTCGGTGAGACATTAAGTGCCTATCTTTTTATAGGAAGTGTTGAGTGCGCGACACTAATTTCAAAGCCTGAATTTACCACAGGAGTGTTTAAGGACTAACCAAGGTGGAAAGCCACAATGGTTATTGTAGTTTTTCTTTGGATGGGATTGTAGAATTAATGTGCATGGACCTTCCTCCCTCAGTAAGTTACATTAGAAAACGTCTTTCTTCTATGTTGAGGTTCTTTGTCGACTTGCCAGAGTTGAATATATATATATATATAATATATATATATATATATATATATATATAACGTTCCACTTGGTTTTTTAATTAACTAGATTTTTGACCTTTTAACAAAGTTGTTATTTCATATATCATGTATTTTTATGTCTTGAAAATGAACTCTCCTTCCCTGTTAACTAGGGGTTATGTTTCTGGAACCTGCAGTGCCTTCAGGAGAAATACACAGAAAGAATAGAGTTAGTCAATGGAGACTGCTGCGTTTTAGTTCAGACCATTGTGCCTGGAACCTGAGTCCTCTTATGCCTGTATTTACTAGGACTTTGCCTTTCTGCTGGATAAGAGGCGTGGTATCTACTACTGTTGAATGTCTCTTGTTTACTAAATACTTTGTGAAGTACCACACACAGACACACACATACACACACCAGAGACACGAGTCTTGTCTCTTTCCCATTAGTTTAGATGTGTAAGCTGGTATTGATACCATTTTGCTAAGGCTGTGATCCTAGGAGTTAGGTAATTGCAGCCACAACATGTAGCCCTGGAATTTCAGTGTATTTTTTGGTCATGTGCCTATCTTGTCTTTGTGTTTCTCTTTCTCTCTCTGAGTGGAAAGAACAGCCATTATCTAGGGCTTGTTGATCTCAAGGCAGAGAAAGAATAAAAATCCAAGGCCTCTAGAGGCAAACCACAATAGCGTGCATGGTACGACATGTCCACTTACAAACTGTGGCCCAAGCAAATCATGTGCCCAAGCCTCAAGTCTTGGGGTGGGAAGCTTGTTCACAAAGAAAGAAGAGAAGGAAAGGGAAAAACAGATACTTAGGAAAACGTATTAAAAGAGTTGGTGGAAACAAATTTGAACCTAAGAGTTGAGAGTTTTAAGCTCAGTTTAGTGCAGAGTGTATGCAGAAGAGTTAGGAAAATTACTAACCAGTAAATAGATTCAGAGCCAAGAGAGACTCATAGCTGACTGACAGTAGCAAAATGAGGCTGTAAAAATATGTCATTGTACATACTAGAAATTGATGATTTCAGTAATGTCTGAGTCATCGAGATTAGGTTATATTCAGATTGCTGTTTTATAGACGCACTAGAATCCACAAGACTTAAAATCAGAATGTGTTTGTTACTTTAGAATTCTCTTTAAAATTTGGTTAACTAGAATACAGTCCCGAATGATACCTCATTTGTGAGGCATGTATATGTAGTATATAAAGTTTGTGTATGTAGTGTATGTTAGTGGGTGCATGTGCGTGTATGCATGCATGTAGAGGCCAGAGATTGATGTCAAGTACTCTATCTTTCAAAGCAGGAGCTCTCACTGAATTTGGAGTTTACTGATTGGCTTGCTGGCTAGACTGGCTGATGTAAATGCGAAAGGGATCTGCTTGTTTGCTAAGATGTGTGTACCCACACTTAAGTCTTGGGGATCTGAACTTAGGTCCTCATGCTGGCATGTCAGGCCTTTTACCAGCCCAGCCATCTCACTAGCCCCTCATTTGTGAATTTTTAAATGAAAAATTTCCGAAATGACAAAGACTAGTTTGAGGGGTAGATCTTTTTTCAGTGCTTTTATACTTTAACTTAGGTGAGTTTTGTAGTTCTGTCCTAATGTGGAATAGGAAGGTCTTGTTAGTTACTAGAATTACCTGAATGAAATGAGAGTAGTTTTCTAAAATGTGCAAAGTTTTAAATGAGTCACAGATTGGAATTGTGCCAGTATAGAAGGGTTCACAATGACAGGTCTTCCCCACCCGTTATTGCCTCTGTTGTAGCCAGTGTTCCGGAGATAATCTCTGGGCGTTTACAGATACATTCATTTCTTTGTGTATGTGTGTTTGTATGTGTTTATGTAGGTAAGTGTGTGGAGGACGGAAGACAACCTTTGGGTCCATTCCTTAGTAGCCATCTGCTTTGTATTTTTGAGACAGGTCTCGCCTTGCCCCGGATCTTCAGTGAGCTGGTACTGTCTTCTCCCCAGTGCTGGGGTTACACGTTTGTGCCGTGTCTCTTTTTCAAGGGATTTTGGAAGGTATAAACTCAGGACTTTATGCTTGCTCAAGCACCTGACTGCCTGAGCTAACACACCGGCTAACACAGGGGTGACACCCAGTTGTATGAGTACAGTGTAACCCTTGCCACTGATCTTCATTTTGTTTTTCCGACGTTTTATTTTGAAAAACAAACAAAAAAAAAACTAGTCAGAAGAAATGTTTCTGTATAGATGTCACTTCACACATAAGCTTGTTTAAGACTTTTAGAAGCAGAATTACTAGAATACTAAGTTAAGAAGTAAGTGTACTTATAGTAAAATACACTCATGGATATATTTTTGTTTTTCATTGTGTTTTTTTCTGGTTTGATAACTCTTCACTAGAACTCCGGCTCTGCTGGTCCCTCGGTAGTCACAGTTCTTGCCTTCTTTTGAGATGTATGGAGTCCTTGAATTGATCTGTTTGCCAGAGGCAGGGTAGGAATGTAGGAGACAAGAAATGACTGTCTTAAGGTGTGTTTTATTCGTCTTTTTTTGTGTGTATGTCACTTTTATTTTAAATAATATGCTTACTGCTAAGTTGATTTGAATTTGAAAGATGTTTTGAAGAGTCAAAGAATGGATGAAATGAGTGAAGAACTAGAAGATAACATTCTTATTTTATTCCCTTCAGGTCCAAGAACTTTTTTTAGTAAGAGGTCGAGTAGATAAGAAGTCCTTGTCACTTTTCATGTGACTTGGCTCAAGAAGCACCAATGGCGTTGCCACTAATAAAGTGTGCCGTGGCACTCTGAGTAACCGTCCTGGAGTGATTTTTCTTAGATTTTACTTTGTTGTGTGCTTCATCCCACCCCCGTTTGAAACTGACTTGTTCTTTTGTTGGTATTGGAGTAGGTTTGAAGTGAGCTGGGCTGTCACTGGGATTTGAGAGTACCAGCTTTCAGATTCTGAAAAACAACTTTCTTTCAGGAGGAGGCAAAACAGATTCAGTATCTACAGAAGAGTGGCACGCGCACCGACTCCAGGGAGGATGAAATCTCTCCTCCTCCTCCCAACCCAGTGGTGAAGGGCCGTCGGCGCCGTGGTGCTATCAGTGCTGAGGTTTACACAGAGGAAGATGCTGCATCCTATGTTAGAAAGGTAGTTTTGATGTCTACATGCTGGAAGCTGTTTCTGAGGCCCACCTTGTTGTCAGCTCTGTTCCTTTGATGAGTACATAATCTATTTCAAAGAAAGACAAAGACGCAGTTGTTGGCACTTGGGAACAGACGTAATAGCTCCTCAAGAGAAAGTGGTGATTATAAACCAGTGAGTAATTGCATTTAGGCTTTGCCGAGTCCCATGCTTGCAGCAGAAGCGGGCAGTACTCCTTTTTCTCTTAGTTCATGCTGTCAGCCTGGTTAGGGTAAGGGTATGACACCATGTAATTCATATTTTGGCTTTTAACCTTTATCCTACAAGTTGCATTCATCCTGCTCCGCTCTTCCTCATAGCCTGCCAACATTGAGTTAGGTTTTGTGAAACCAGCAACACTGTATGATCACAGTTCACAAATACTTAGTTTTGCCTCAGAATAATGATCTTGGTCTAGGTGTTTTTGGTGTAACTTGGAATTTTGTTAGCTTGGAATCAAGTACTGACCTTTAAATATAAGCCTGGCTCTAGGCAAGGGGATTAATCAGTATTTATTGAGTACTTTGTGAATCATACAGGTGTATTGTGGTGAAAATATTTAACTCAAAATAGCCTGGTTTAGATACCATTATGGGGCATGATTGTTTAATTGAAATGCAAGATGTACACATGAAATGTCTTTGGTTTCTAGGTTGTCATTTGGCCTTTGATATTTTTCTAGGTTATACCAAAAGACTATAAGACAATGGCTGCTTTGGCCAAAGCCATCGAAAAGAATGTGCTGTTTTCACACCTTGATGATAATGAGAGAAGGTAGGTGCAGGTACTTGTTACACTTTTCCCAGTGGAGTGGTGGTACCAAACTTTTGTCATTGTTGCAAGTTCTAGGCCCAACTGACAAAACTGAGACTCTGAGAGCTTTAATGCTAAGATTGTTTGATGAAATCTGTAGATGAGACCTGCGAAGTCTAACCCAGGCCTCTTCTGTCCTGCAGTGACATTTTTGATGCCATGTTTCCAGTCTCCTTTATTGCTGGAGAGACGGTTATTCAACAAGGTAAGGGCTGTTGTGCATTGTGGTTATAGGAAAGGAGGTGAGATGAGGCGCGCGCTTTTTGTTTTATTGGAGTCTGTTCATCTTTTGCATTTTCTTCTTCATTAAACAAGTCTCTAAATTAAAAGTAATGCTTTCTCTATGGGATTAATATTTCTGATAACTTCACTATTAAAGGGAATGCCTATGATGTCATTGTATTTTGTATAGAATTTGAGAACAGTAAGTCACATGTTCTTTTTATTGGTTTTAAGATTAAATAAATAAGCAAAATCGCCCACAGTCTGCATCACGTAACCCATCTGTTATATGGTTCTGTGCCTCCCACAGAATCTTAACCATTTTGCCCATGTAGACTAACATGAATCTTACCTGTTGAATATTTTGTTTTCTTATTCTTAACATTTTCATGGATTTTCATAAGCCAAACCTTTCCCCATTTTGTGGCAGCCTAACCTTTTGTTATTGTTGAGTTGTTTGTTGTATTTGTACATCATAGCAGTTAACTTTCATGTGTAAGTGGCTGAACGTTTTTAAAATGACGTTTTATTGATTTATTTTGTCTATATGTATGTGCACATGTGCATGTGTGTGCTACAGCATTGGTTTGTGGAGCTCAGAAGACACCTTGAAGGAATTGGTTTCTCCTTCCTGCATGTGGGTCCCAGACATCAGACTCAGCTTGTCATATGTGGCAGTAGGTGCCTTTAAACACAGAGCTGTCTCATGGCTCCCATAGTGGCTTTATTAAAGTACAGTTTTAAAAGATACTGGGAGATGACCAGGAGGAGCGATTAATTTCATGTTGGTCTTTTGAGAAAACCTTGCTTGTTTTTCCCTTAAGTTCAGTCACTTAGCATTTACCCGCACGTTTATTGTTTTGTTAATTTGATTGTTTTGTTAATGATCTGACTCTTTACTCTCTTCCAGGTGATGAAGGGGATAACTTCTATGTGATTGATCAAGGAGAAATGGATGTAAGATTTAATAATAGCAAAAATATGTTGATAATTTTGATTTTTAACTTTTCATTTTTAAGCAATAAACATGTTTGCAAGGGTAGATGATTATGGCCTTGATAAGTCAATACCCTCAACACTTGTCAAGTATTTTTTATGACACGAACTTTTTATAGATGGCTTGCCTGTCCATCCATATCATTCACTACTTTCACTGGGGTAGCAGTTGAAAATGTGTGTGTCCTATGGAGCTCAGGGCTCCACTATGGATAGTACAGCTTTTAAAATTTCTGGTTTTTTTTGACCAGTGAAATGAGGATAGAAATCACCTCAGTCTCGTAGATTGTTAGGAAATTCAGTGACCTAATACATATAAAGCCCCAGCACAGCTTTCTGTAAATGTGTCATTTGATACTAATGGTGTCTGAACATTGTCCTTGGCATCCACTAGGGTACCTGTATCAGATCATTTAACTTGTGAACTGTTAGTGATTTTGCTCTGCTCTGTTCTGCAGATGTATATGCAGTATATATGCTCTTGTTTAAAACAGGTTCAGAATTCTTCCTTCTGGAAAAGTCAGAACTAACATTTGTATATGTAGATAGAAACATTTTTTTGCTGTCATTTTTATTTTAGGTCTATGTCAATAATGAATGGGCAACCAGTGTTGGGGAAGGAGGGAGCTTTGGAGAACTGGCTTTGATTTATGGAACACCTAGAGCAGCCACTGTCAAAGCAAAGACAAATGTGAAACTGTGGGGCATTGACCGAGACAGCTATCGGAGAATCCTCATGGTAAGAGGCTGTGAGTTTTTAGAATGTGATTTAGAATTCTGATCCTTTTTATCACCAAGTTAAAATAATGCTTTCCCTACCTTTAATGGTTGAATAGTCTTGTGTTTAGGTTAATATATCACTTGAGACAGGGTTAGTAAAACAAAAGTTAGGTCAGGAGTAACCAGAGAAACTTGTGTGTGTAGGTAACGGTCAGCTCCTTTTAGCAATCTGCTAGTGGGTGAATCTTACTTAAAATTACCCCCCTTAGATTGCCCACTGGATTGTTTTAAGTGCATGTGATCATTTAAAGTCATTCAGAAAGTCATCTTTTCTCAACTGAAACAGGGTTATCAATAGTAAGTGCATGCTGCCTTCTTAGAGGAACTATCAAAGCAGTAAGGCCATGGAGGCATTCTGCTCACAGGAACTTTAGATGTTTTAATTACCAGTGAATGATCCTGATGTTTTTTTAAGTTCCTGGTGCTCATATGGCTGTTTGAAGATACAGTCTGGGGCTGCAGAGAGATGGCTTAGTGATCAAGAGCGTGTACTGCTCTTGGAGCAGGCCCAAGTTTTGATTCATATATCAGGCAGCTCACAAACACCTGCAGCTCCAGCTCCAGGGGATCTGATGCCCTATTCTTAACTGCATGGGCACTGCACTCGTGTGCACAAACCCAGACTCAGACATACACATAATTTTTTAAAATATGCCATCTTTTGTGTTTTGAAGTCTTTGTGGATTTCTTTTTGTTTAAAATGTTTTTCCTTATTTTTTGACAATTTCATAGTCCTATACCTGAGAGAGAGGGAGTCTTGTCCCTCTCTCACCTCTGCATACATTTTCCACTGAGTCTCGTTAATGCTGCTGGAATTCACGGTGGTGCATGGGCAGCTTTGCAGCAGCCACACTGCTGCAGAAACCTGACTCTTCCTCCCCTGGCTTCTGTCCGTTTTCATTAGCTCCTTAGCTGCAGGCTCCCCCCCTCCCTCGGTTTTCTATTCTATGTGCATTAAAACCTATGAACGAATGTTCAAGTCTCTTATCTAAAATGACAATACTATTTGCACATAATCCTTATACATAGTCTGTATACGCTAAACCGTCACAAGCTTAGCCTGAGATGTTTAAAACACAGTAAACATTGTTTAATATATCATCAATACACTCTGTAGGAAACAGGAAGAAAGTCTGCCTGTTGAGCAAGTGTGTCACCCTTCCTCCCATAAAAATTTCTGTCTGCAGTTGACTGCAGATGTGGAACCTGTGGCTATGGCGGGCAGGTGGTGTGTGTCATATGCACGTGTGTACATTGTGTGCATACTTACACAGGTATATGTAGTAGTACTGGGGTCATTTATCTTGTGTGCAAAGTTTGTCTTAAGCACATACAGTATTCTTGTTTTCTTCCAATTATACCCAGTAAACTTTGTCTTAGATGAGATCCTTCATTAGGACTGCCTTTCTCACTGTAGGTGACAGTAGTCTGCTCCCTGCCTGCAGTCTGTGGGGAAGGAGATAGTCAGCTACACTGTTGTCATGCATTAGGTGCTTAGCTGGCTTTTTGGAGAGCTGCTTGGCATTTCACCTTGATAGAACTGTGTCCTTGCTTGGGCTGCACACCTGATGCTGCCTTAGATCCTAACAGCTTTGTGCGGAGATGCACAGGAGCTCATTCTTCAGAACAGAGGAACAGTCCTGAGTCAAGAAACAACAGTAGCAAGCTTTGTGTTTAGTTTTTCTCGTTTGTGCAAAATGAAAGTTAGATTATTTTGCAGTGTTATGTGATAATTGCATCTCTTTTGGACTTGCCTTTTTTTTTTTTTTTAAACAGGGAAGCACTCTGAGAAAGAGGAAGATGTATGAAGAATTCCTTAGTAAAGTGTCTATTTTAGGTGAGTTTGGAAAATTATATGAAGAATTGATAAATTGGAGAATTTGTGATACTTAGCATAGCTTTATACATGACATACGTCTTCAAGCTCATTCATATGTATTTTCATACATGTTTTTGTTTGCTTTTGCTAAACATGAACATGTGTAATTTTATCAGTGCTGAAAGGTTTTCTAAATTAACAGTAATTTTAACGTGTATTCATTTAATTTGCTAATACATGACAAACCCTGTAATTAGACCTGGAAAAGGCTTTCTGGTGGTATAGATGCTGCTCATTCCTTTTACAGGAGCAGGAAGCTCTCAGGGTCCATTGTGCTCTGGACGTTCACAGTTATTCCTGCCTCAGCTTCTGTCCTGCTGTCCAGGAATGGGTTTTGTCTGAGAAAAGTTAGATATCTTTGTTGGTCTCTTTTGAAAAGATTCAGACCCGTTGAAATTCGAAAATGAGCAGATTAATTGGACATACTTCTTGAGATTTTCTTACATAGACTGGGGGATGTTAAAACCTGTCCTGTGTGGGGTGTGGGAGGTCATTTTTCCCAGATGACAATCTGATGTTGTTTTGCTACAGTGATTTATTTGACTTTCTTGCCTTATTTGTCCTTTATTTTAGTGTTTTGAACATTAGTTGGGTCTTTGGGAACAAAAGTTACTTTCTCGCTCCTTGTTGCTCACAAGGTAAACTGAGTTGAGGGGTTAAATGAATAAGTTACTTCTTTGAACCTTTGGAGTGGTGTGTGGGGTAGGTATTACTTTGGTTACTTACTTGTAGGTTTGCTGTACTTGATGCTAATGTTCAGAATTGCATTTTCTTAGCCCTTTGCCATGGGATGCCATTGATACAAGCTAACTAGAGTTAAAGGAAGACTCTGAGTACCATCTGTAGTTAGAGGAAAGTCGTCCTGCGGAGACAGCGGTGACTGAAGACGGGGCTGTTGCTAAGCACCTAGAGCAGTCCTATTGGGATGTCAAGTGGGGGTGCTATTTGGTTGTATCTCTGTAGAGTTTGCTTTTACTTAAATTTTATTATTTTTAAGAATTCCAAATACATGGAGAAAATCTGGATTCTTGTCTTCCAGAGTCTCTGGACAAGTGGGAGCGTCTCACAGTGGCTGATGCATTGGAGCCTGTTCAGTTTGAAGATGGACAGAAGATTGTGGTGCAGGGAGAACCAGGGGATGAGTTCTTCATTATATTAGAGGTACAGAGCTTGCATTTGACTCCTGATAGTTTTGTTCACCTAGAGGGAGTACAGCTGATCTGATTCATAGTTTAGTTTTAAGACTGCCTGACAGTTTCATTTTATAATTATCTTTTACTTCGGAATATAACTTTGTGTTTAGGCTGCTACAGTTTTAAAAGAATAGAGTCAGAATTCTGGAAGTGCTTTAAACACAATAGGTGATATTATTCTTTACCATGCTAAAACTCCCCTCAACCATAGTATGATTCTGAACCATTGTTGTTTAAAACTCAAGTGTATAGTCTATTGGGTAATGATTTGCAATTCTACAATTAGTGTTATCTGAAATAGATTTACCTATAATCCTGCTTGCTAAGCAGGCCCAAATAGCATCTTCAGAGACAGAACTCTTGTTACACTGCACATGCAGCCATGGAAGCATGAATCTTGAGTGTGATAGTCTTACATTTTATTTTCAAAAGACACAGCAAGCTTGGGCTTGGACCTTTCCATAAAATTTACTAACCTGACTCTGTTTTAAGTGCTTGAGCTTGATTAGAACCTTGATAGTTGGATGCTGGTTAAACGGAAATCCCAGGGTTGGAAGTGTGGGAGAGGAGAGGGTAACGTGATGACTCCTCTTTGATCTTTGACCATAAGTCCACAGACAGGTTGAAATAACTGCTGAGTCCTCTCTGCCCTTTGCAGAGTAGCTGAGATTGCACAGGATCTTTCCATTTCCCTTGGTTAGGAAGCATCTATTTAGCTTCGTGCTGATGTTATTACAGGGCACAGCGGCTGTGCTGCAGCGTCGGTCAGAAAACGAGGAGTTTGTTGAAGTGGGACGACTGGGGCCTTCTGATTATTTCGGTATGTTAAACTTCTTGACAACAAATACATGGATTAAGTATCTCTTAGTTTTCCATAATTTATTTTTGAGTTTCTTTTTTACTTATTTACTTATTTTTGAATCTGAATCTTTCCTGTAACTCACCCTGTGTCCAGGTTGCCCCCCAAACTCACAGAGATCCACCTGCCTCTATTTCTAGAGTGATGGGATTAAATGTATACACCTCCATGCCCTGCCTTTGTTTTTGAGATAGGGCCTCAGATAACAGTGCAGGCTGCCCCTCTTTAGATCTACTGCCTTAGCCTCCTAAGTGTTGGGATGATAGTCATGATGCCTGCTAGATTTCTTAACCTATACTCTTTTGTTCTCAGAGAAATACTGTAAGATTTAACTTCACTCAGTTAATAGATGGGCATGGGGACACATAAACTCACACCTGTGTCTTATGTAGCCTGGATGCCTGGAATTCACTGTACAGTAAGGCTGGCTTCCCATCTGCCTTCGCCCCTTGAGTGTTGGGGCATGAACTGTAGGCATGACTGACTATAAGGACTTTATTACCCGGTAATTGGCAGTATTTTTAATAAGCAGTTCTTGTGTGGCTTCTTAAGTTAGTAGAAAGGTAAATCTTTGTTCTCTTTCTCAGAAGTGGACCCTTTAAGGAAATGGCTTCCATAGCTGTTGGTTTGGTCTTAGTCATGGCTCGTCTCTTTTCCAGGTGAAATTGCCCTGCTGATGAATCGTCCCCGGGCTGCCACAGTGGTTGCACGTGGCCCTTTGAAGTGTGTTAAGCTGGACCGGCCTCGGTTTGAGCGTGTCCTTGGCCCATGCTCAGATATCCTCAAGCGAAACATCCAGCAGTACAACAGCTTTGTGTCGCTGTCCGTCTGAGACCCACCTCTGTGCCTCTCTTCCCCGTCCATGCTTCACTCCTGCAGACTGCTTTCTCTCTCTCCGCAGCGCCAAGTGGCCACTGGCTTCACAGCTTCTGTCTCTTTATACTACAAGTTGCTTTATTGCACCATTTTTTCATTTGGAGCATTAACTGAATGCTCATTCACAAATAAATAGAGAGTTCTATGGACTTGGCTCTTACCGCTTCTCTCTGTGCAGTGCTAGTGTTCCACCTGGGCAGTGAGCGCCATGCTTTTTGGTGAGGGCGGTCCTGCACCAGTGAGTTACCATAATGACGTAATAACAGTGCAGGGGTTTTAAGTGACACAAATTTCCATTTCCATATGACACAAGTGACATACTTAGACTGTGGCCATGTTTGCTGTATTTCTTTATAGAATAAATGATTTTTAACCTTTAAAAAATGGTTATAAGAAAATCCTAGTACAGTAGAAAGACATCTGCCTGTAATTCAACTAGTTGAAGTGTGGGAAATGCCCATGTTTTGCTAATTACCAGACAGAAACTAGTGCAGCCCCATCAGCCTGGTTTTGTTTGTATATTGCTAGTGTTTCTTCTCCAGTCCCAAAATATTTGATGTGACTGACTGTACCTGCCTTTTACGTTTGAAACAAGTTGTCGATGGCAACTGCTGGGTTGTGACAACTCCATCTGTCTCAGCTCACAGACTCTGATGGTAGCTACTCATCCAGCTGGTGCCAAATACTGATGATGATGTGCAGAACTGTGAGTGAGAATTGAGGGCTACACCCTGTTAACTGTGCTAACTGGTGTGAGTGGCCCGCAGTCACTGACTCTAGGAGATTGGATTTAGGGAGAATAGACAGAGACAGGACAAGCCCCAGATAAAGAAGTGGAGGCAGTGTTGCTGAAGGTGGGTGGGGTCAGGTGTCCACAGACAGGAAACTTTGTTCTTGAGGTAGTCTCTCTCCCTGGTTTATGTTAATGAGGGTGGGTAGGATGGCTCAGACCATCCTGTTGAGGGTCCTGCCTTTTCCTGTCTAACCTTGAATTTCTCTGGTAAACTTTATGAATTTTTGTTTGTGTGTGTCTTTGTGCGTTTTTTTTTTTAAAGTCAACTTGTGTTTGAGTCTTCACTGTATTTCAGTATTTTCCAGCCTTATGTGTTACATTATTCCAATGATAACCCAACAGTTTATTTTTATTACTGTTATTTTTTAAACAGAATTTCACAGTTGGTTACTAGGCACGTTGTGATTTATGTGCATTGTCGGGTTCTGTATGGGAGTGACTACAAGCATTTTTCGTGTGCGTGCCAGTGCTTCTGTTCAGTAAGCCCCTCCTACCCGTTCCCAGTTAACTTAATTGGTTCATTTTTTTTTCTTGATAGCTTGAAAAGCTTTTAGGTTGTCACTGACTTGGGAAAGAAGTTTCATTTAGATTTTAGTGTGGGGTAAAAAGCTACCTTGTTGCTGTTTCTAAAATTTTCATAACCTATATTAAATGAGGGTTTTCTGTACTTTTGTGTTTGGCTATCTTTTTTATATTTAAAAAAATAAAAATTATTATGTTATTAGATTAAAGCTTAATTTGATATTTGTTTAAATGCCAAAATGTACTTAAATGAATGATGTAGAATGCCATAAAATGCATTTTCATGTGTATATATCCCCTTTGTTCTTGTATACAGAGATACACCCCTGCTTTCTAGAGAGTTCTACTCAAATGCTAGCTTGCTGGTTACTCCCTTTGTAGTTTTCACTCTTAGACTTTTCAAGATAAGTCTAAATTTAAAAATTACCACATTTAAAGCTTTATCATTGTGCAATTTAAATATCAGTCAGCAGTCATGGTTGGCAGACTGTGTCTTTGTGGACTCCAGGCACCATTATCTCTGGATGGATGAGTGACTTTGGATCTGCTGAGAAAGCGGAGATAGCCAAAGGGACAGTGGTCTGATATACGGTGTGCTAATCTAATATACGCTGTTCTTTTGTTAAAGACTGTCTCAATGGTAGGTAATGGAATAAAAGAGATTAAATAATTTAAATTCTTAAATGAATCAGTTTTTCTTCTTTTCCTTATTTTCCCTCTGCCCCTCTCGAGAAGTTCAGTGGGCAAGAATGAACATGAATTTTGGGATTAGTGGTTTGGTAAAAGTATTTATTTTTAAAAATACATTCCAATTCAGTTTGTCAAAGGGTGGATCTCAAAACCTTGCTGGGTTCATGGGTACATGACAGATTGACCAGCAAGCTTCGAAAGGAAGATTCTGTCCAAAGTCACGGTTTTCCTTTCCCAGGAAAAGGTACCTGTGTGCCTTGTGAATTACAGGCTTGCTGAGAAACTTGGTTTCTGCAGCAGCAGACCTTTGGTTAGTGAGATCTGCCCTTTAGCTACTTAGAGATGTGTTTGTCTTGCACATAGCAAGCCTGGTTTCTAACGTTTACTCCTCAGGTTTGAGGAGTGAGCCAGTGAGTTACTCAGGGTATTGATACCTGGGATCTGCACATGCCGGGAAGCCAGCATCAGTGCCCGAGTTTTGCTTTGTAAGGCGTACCTTGTACAGGTTCAGAATTCCCTTCCACCAGCCGAACGGTCCTCAGCATAATCTAATCCTTCCGTATAGCCATTGCACGGACATTTTAAAACTGAAGTAGCACAGCGACAGTGGGATTCTCTTCCGTTCTTTGTATCAGTTTATCTCCAGCCACAAGTACTTGGACGCTTTGTGAATTTTTTCTCGGCCCTGGCAGTGTACTCTCAGGTGGTTAGGAACACTGGCTGTTTTATAATTGGCCCTCCAGCATGTCTGTCATGGTGAACCCCAAAAATCCCTTCTTATATTTTGGGATATTTTTATAGGAATCACCGTTTTTGTCTACATACACAGCTACAATTTGTTTTTGGGCATAGCCAGAGCTGTGACTTCATCGTGATTCCCTGTAACTAAAACCATCCATGGGTTCATTTTTTTGTTTTGTCTAAGAACTAGATTGACTATCTTTGTGATTTTAAAAAGTCGCCACTAGATGGAGCGCCTTTTCTCTATTCTTAGCTTCGTCAATCCCAATGAGTTGTAGCCGGTCTGCGGCTTCCGTGTTTGCAGGTTTGCCTGCTTGGTACATTTTAATGTGAGCCTGAGATCACTACGCCAGCGGCAGCGTTCTTGGAGGACTTGAGATTTAAGCGTGACCTGAGCTCTATACAGCCTGCAGCTTGAGCTGCGCAGTGAAAACGTGCTTCTTGGGTGCACGCTTTCCTACCCAGCCCTTAAGGATCTGCAGCCTCATTTCAGCAGTCCATCGTGAATGTGTCATTTTTGGCGTGATTTCGTGCTTACCACTATTTAAAAGGTCCCTAAGGATAGTGCTCATGTGTTGGCTCATGTTCCCGAGTGTGAGAAACCGTAGCTTCCTGTGAAAGTGTGGAGTCGGCAGATGCAGTGTTAAAGGACCAACAGTGTAAACATGCAACTTGACCACACAAGGTGAGATTCTGTAGTACTGAGCTGGTGAATTTGCCTGGAGAATCCTCAGAGCCGAACTTGGCATTTCTCCTAGGAGCAGTAATAATCTGCCAGTTTAGCGGCCAGAGGTTTCGTAGGACTGAACTGCTACCTACGAAAGAGTTGGCTTATCTTGAGGTCTAAATTGCCTGGTTTTCGAGAATGCTGTGGTATATCCCTCCAAACTGGTTTCTACCAGTTCATACAACATACAGCCTTCGTCTGTTTTATTGGCTTGTTAGTGGTAGCATGGAAAGTTTTCACACAGACCCAGAATACTTTTTCGTGGGAAGTTGAGCAATGTTTGGGCATGAGCAAGCCGTAGAACTTGATCCCTCTGAGAGTGGAATGCTTTTGTTTTCTGGCATTTTGAAAAATGCTGGTCTTAAGGGTTTTTTGTTGTTGTTAGAAAGTTTGAATTTTAAAAGTGAAAGTCTATGTAGTTATTCAGCATTATTTAACAGATTATGAACAAATTCGGTTACTTGGGTTTTGAAAAGTAGAGCAGAAATTTTCTTCAAGAATGTTCAGAAACTAGTGTACGTCAAGGGAGGTTGTGTTGGAGACGGGCTGCAGCTCACCTGAGACTGGTGGAAAGTCTCAGCCCTTGCTTCTTTGAACATAAGGACCCCTTCCCCATTCTTCAGTGACTCCCTAGTGCTTCTCCCATGGAGAGAACAGAAACGCTGATAATAGGAAGCGGTGCCTCGTGAAAGGTCCTCCCTGGATGGGAGAGTCTTCAGCACCGAGCTTCCTCTGTTAAAGAACTGAGCTTTGCCTATTTTTCTTTCTGTAACCCAGACTTCACACTTTTGTCTCAGCCCCTCAAGGACTGGGATTTGCTCGCTTGAGTCACAATGCCCAGCGTAATTTTTCTTTACAGCTAACAAATTTAACTTCACAAACTTCCCAAAACCACAAAATGATATGATTTTAATCTTTTGGGAGCCTTAGTTCTTTTCCTTGCACATTGGAGGCAGGGGGTTATGCATATTCAGGAGGGTTGCAAATCTGTGTTTTTCAGGCTGGTAAAGTGTCTGGGACATGGCAAGACTTCAGGGCGAATAAAAGCAAGGTTATTGAGCAAACTGGATTTAGGAATTGTGCACCCGTAATGTGGGGTGCTAGGATGAGTCAGAACCATCCATTGCAGACAAGCATGGTGACTCATGCCTGTCACCCAGGCACTTGGGAGGTAGAGGGGAAGATTAAGAATTCCCGGCAAGTCGGGACCACAGGAGCCCTCAAGTCAGAAGACCAAAACAGTGCCACCCATTGTCGCAGATGTAGAGGTCTGACCATTTCTGGTTCTTGATTTTGCTGCTCTTTGGGCTGCCTTTTCCTTCTACCCTCATACTTTTTGATCCTCTGGCTTTTATCAGAAGATAAAGTAACCTGCTAAAGCTATTTATTTTTACTCGACTCTTCACCCGTGTGATCCGAACTTGCTGCCATTTTCCCCTCGGTGTTGACCATTAGTTTTGACTTCACTGTGTCATTTCCTCATGCAGCCTAGGCTAGCCTTGAACTCACTGTGTAGCTGAGGATGTCTGAATTTCTGGTCCTCCTGAGTGCTGGCATTGTGAGCATTGCCAGCCTGCCTGGTTTTATGTGGTGCTGGGGGGTGGGGGTCAAACCCAGGGCTCTGCATCTGCTAAGCAAGCACTCAGCCAGCTGTGAGCCACACCGCCCCTCAGTTGCCAGTACTCTTCAGACAGAAGTGCCCCTCTTCTGAGCAAATTTACCTTTGGTTAGTATTTCCAAGAAGTTACTGGAGAGTGACGTGGTGGGGATTATTGTATTTAAATAGTGTTAGGGACTGGAATGTCAGTGGGAAGGGTGATGTTTATTTTTGCATCAACTTGAGATTTATAGATTTTAAGTCATTTGGAAGATGAGATTTTTTTTTTTTAAAAATGGAACAGGCTGTATATAGTACCTTCATATACAGGAAGGACTTGGAGGAGGCCAGTTATCTACTTGATGTCCCTTTATTTGACAAGGTAGAGTAAAAACTTCCTGGGAACAGGGCCTCCACACCTTCCAAGCCTGGCCCAGATCCAGGTTTCCCAGTGTGCTCAGAAGACAGTCCGCAGCCTTGACGGCCTTGCCGGAGCCAGAGCTTGCTAGGAAGATTGAGCCCCATCCAGTGCACTGTAAAAGCAGTGACCTCCATCCAAAAGTTAAGGCTCAGTGGATCCCACTTGCTCTTTCAAAGCATTCCTGCCTCCTCCCTGAGCTCATGACTTGGTCTGCAGCACCCCAGGGTGGAATGGGGCAGCAGGGGCCCCACACCATCACCCGCGGCTGGCTCCAATTGTGTGTCCTGAGGTTTCTCCTTTAGAGCTAGCTGTTAGCTTGTCAGATTAGCCTGGCCAGAGTCTGGGGCTGACCGCTGTGCTGGGCTATCAGCCACGACCCTCTGTTCCCCGTGGGCCTCTATGCAGTCCTCTACTGTCTTCAGGATGATTTGGAGTCTGCGGTCCAGGGCCAGCAGGTGGGGTTCTGTGAGGACGGGGGCAAGCTGGTCTTCTAGGAGTGACTCCCGCATGACGTCACTGAGTCTGTAGTCAGCCTGCGCCAGCAGCTGAAGGTGCAGCAGTGTTTTCTGTTTTATCCTGGTGAGACAAAGCCAGTAGAACCAGGTCAGCAAATTAAGGAGAGTAGCTTGGTCCGCACTTGCCCAGTCCCCACCAACAGCTCTTGCAGCTTGTATCCTTGGAGATATTATTTCTAGGCAAACACATTTCAGTGAAAGCCACGCAGAAGAAGAATTAGTTGGGCAGCAGCCTTCGTCCAATCGTCTTTAGTCAGGAGTTGCCAGGCTGTTAGCACTCTGTCACGTCTGTGTGCGCGCACGCGTGCATGTGTGTGTGTAAGTCAGAGGGCAACTTCGACTTGGTTCTTTCTACCATGTGGGTCCTGGAGATCAACTCTGGTCCCTTTACCCACTGAATCGAGAACTCTAGTAATTGTAATGCCATCCATGGTGATGCCAAGTCATAAGCCATTACTCTGATGGTGATGACAGAGCCAAATGAAGTGGCACTTGAGTTTTTTTTAAATTTTTTTTTTTTTTTTAAGATTTAAAGCTGATGGAAGAAACTTCCAGTAGGTGAATGAAATTGTTGTCTAAACATCTAAGCTCCACTTGCCAACCTCAGAATGTGTCTCCTGTGTCAGATTCTAAAACCGTAGGAATGACAAGCCACTAGGTCCATTTTGACTTTAGAGTTTTGATTTCTTTTAGACTCAGGCAAGCAGCATAACTGGCTGATTTTGGATACAAACAACCACTCATCCTTTCCAGGGGAGAGATGCTTAAATTAACCCAAGGAGTTGATTTGGATCACGCATGTGCCAAGGGAACCAATGGGATGGTTTTGTTAGGTCGGAGTCACACCTTTATAATTAGCTATAGCCAAGAGAGACCCTACTGTCACCAGCCTGGCTAAAATGCCAAAGATACAGAAGTCGGTGTCCTTTGGAGAGGGGGGTGGAATTGCAGTCTGACCCAGCTTACCAGACTTCGGTCAGGGTTTTGCTTAGATGGT